TTTAGTTAAAAGTTAAATTTTAAACAACAAAACTTAATGTAACCCAATACAAAAGTAACATGTGTGAAAAAGTATCAAATCTTTTTTTGTTAAAGTTCTCAGTACACAACCCATTGTTTCTCTTATACAATTTTTTAAAATATGTTTTTACTTTTTTAATAGGTAAAACATGTTCGACATACTTGGGACCCTAAAGGAGCATGCACTCAATTTTAAAATGGTGAACTTCTGCGCAAAATTAGAGAGGTTTAGCAAAATACATAGTCAAACTTGAAATAGAGTTTTAATCAACACAACTCGATCGTTAAAAACGTATTTATCGATGGGGATGGCTTGACCTTGACCAAATTAATACAAACCATAATCAACAAACAGAGGTTGATTATTCGGAGAATTAAACTTGGGATTGAAGTATTGAGCAAGGAAGATGCAGAAGCCATGGTTAGAGAAGGAGACCTTGATGGAGATGGAGCTCTTAACCAAACCGAGTTCTGTGTTCTCATGGTTCGGTTAATCCCCCAGATGATGGAAGATGCTGAAACTTGGCTGGAGGAAGCAATCAGCCAAGAACTCTGCAATATACAATCACTCTTCTCTGCCTTGATGACAAAGAACCTTTTTCTTGTGTTCTTCTAAACTTATAAATGTTTCTGAATATTAAAAACTATTTTGGCAATGATCAAACTGAATGATTTAGAGAGAATCCAACCTTCAAATTCTTCACAAGGATTAATGTCATTATAAGCTACTAAAAAACTACAACCGCATGGCACAAAGCAAAGCAACTAAAGTTCAGACTAACATAGAAAAGACAACCACTCGTCGAACACACATTCAGTAACCAACATCTTCAACCTCTTCCTCTGTATACAGGAGACCGGCTACACAAACAAAAGAAATCAAATAATTTATGATCTAACAGTAATCAACAACACACAACAGTTACAAGCCGAGTATTGTTGTTACCTTCTGTATCTGTCATAACCGGGGCTCCTAGCTCTACCATATTCAGGACTGCGACGGCCATAATCTGGACTCCTACGCCTTTCATAAGGAGCTGGACCCTTGTACCTGTCATACTCAGGACTGCGAGGACGGCCGTAATCAGGACTAGGACGTCTCCTGTACACTGGACTAGGAGATCTCCTTCTCGGACTAGGAGCATATCGATCATCTCTTTCATCATCATCCCTCAACGCATACTCAATAGAAACAACCCTGTCCATTAATTTACTGCCAACAGAGAATGATAAACATGTAAGGGGACTATCAAGTTGGCCAATCATTATCTGTTAGAACAAAAAACAGGTAGTGAACTTGTGTTACCTGTTTTGTGTAGATTCAAGGGCTTTGGTTGCATCTTCCTGGGTTTCAAACTGAACGAATGCAAAATTACGTCTTATGCGGACATTGAGAACTTTACCATACGGCTCAAAGTGCCTCTCAATATCACGCTCTTTGGTGCGGATAGGGTCAAAGTTGATGACGAAGAGTGTCTTTGTAGGCCTCTGATTCGAGGCTGCCTTTCCATGAGGCTTCCCACGTTCACCCTGAAAGCCATAAGAAAATTTAGAGCTCTCTTGAAAAAGAAACATAGCATAAGATTCATAAGAGAGAAAAGAAGAAAAAAAGAACAAAGAGAGAGAGATACCTTAGCCCATTCGACAGAGAGTTTGCGTTTCTCATAGCCAAAAGGGATATTGTCAATCCCACGGATAGCATCTTCAGCATCACGCTCATCCTCAAAATACACAAAAGCATAACCTACAAGGAATAAAAACACACAGACTGTAAGAAAACGCAGAGCGTATATGTTGCAGCAGCCCACAGAATTTGCAAAGCAGGAGATAAGTCAGCACAAAGAGACCTTTAGAACCTGGAGAAAGTGAAAACAAAAATAAAAATATACAACACCTGCTTCAGTGTGAAGGCTGGTATACATAAGATGCAGAGGTGTGTGTAGTTGTAGTCAATCAAAACATAATAAAAACCCAAACTTTCTTTTCAATTCTGAAATCTGAAATCTGAAATCTGAATGAGATTGCAAAGGCACTGCTTTCACCATTTCTGACAGTAGGAGTTCAGATATAGTAGATAGGCATGAGAAGAGAAACAAAGCAACGGATGATGAAGAGCATGAAGAGAAACAAAGGCAATGGAAGTATGGATGATGGAGATCTAGACTCAGCGAAGATTGTAGGGCACAAGATGAGATGATAAAGGTAGGCATGAAAACTCAATGCCTCCTGCGACCAAACAAACGCTTAACATACCCAAAAACAAAACAAAAAATCTTCTTATCTAGCTTAATACGCTCCCTGAATTCTCCTTAACACTAAATCAATGGCCTCAGAGTTGCACAAATCAAGATTCCTAGATCAAGGGCGGGAGCAACTTCTCCTCTAAATCAAACCAGAAAAAAGAGTGTAATCATATACCAGACTTCATGTCAACTCGCTCCACTCTCCCGTACTTGCCGAACAATCTTTCCAGCTCCGATTGTCGAGTCTCATACTCGAAATTCCCCACGAACACCGGCCTCATACTTGCCGAAGAGATTGAATTCCTGCTAATCGATAAGTAATCAAAAATCAACGATAAGAACGTGTATCTTAACTATTCGCTTATACATCGTCTTTGCGGGAAACTTCGAATTTCACCTTGAAGAATCTTCGAAAAACCCTAGATTGACGACGACGATGAAGACAGGAAATAATCACACACGGTTTTTATAATGAGTGTGTTTATTGACGATGAAGGGTGTATTTGTAATTTCTCAATAAATGTTTAATTGGGCTTTTTTGCAACCGGTCCACTTGGGCTTTCTTTTCTTCGTACCAAATTAACTTGCGAATTTTTTGTACATTAACTAGAAAGAAAAAAAGGAGGGAAAAACACAGACGAACATCCTCTATTTCAGCCAATACAATTAATCCACGTGGATATCTCGAGCCGCATCGTACGACTCAGACTTTCTACTACTCTTGATTCTCAACAACCCATACAACTTCTTAAACTCCTTCACCGCCGGCGAGCTTCCTCCGCCACCGCAAAGAGAACCACTCATTTCACTAGAAGCATCCTCCGACATCGATCTCCTCGAGCCGCTTTCTAGAAACGAACGCCGTGCATTCCCTCTCCGATCTCCGTCCGTCTGCAAAGCGTTGATCACATACTTGAGCGCACGAGTCGGCGAACTCCGATTCGCGATCATCAGCTCTCCGATCTCCGCGGGACTCAAAGACGCACCGTTTTGAAAAATCCCTTCCACTTGAGGGAAAAGCTTGTGCTCTCTAACCCCCAAGTAGTTGCTGGCCAACGTCTTAAACGCCGCGAAATCGCATAACGGGAAGTGGATGTGAACGTCGACCCGACCCGGTCGGAGCATAGCCGGGTCGATATGCTCTTTCCCCGTCATCGTGAACAACATGATCCGTTCATCTCCCGCGCAAGAGGTGAGGATACTATCAGTAAAATTCAAAATCCCCGAAACGCTCACAGCCGTTGATTTCGAAGCGATGAAACGGTCGAGATCCTCGATCACGATCACTGACTTAGCTCTCGTCTGTAACAGAAGCATCTTAAGATCGGAATCATCCGCTACCTTGGAGAGATCTATGTCGTAAACATCGTAGTTCAAAAAATTCGCCATGGCTGCGACGAAGCTTGATTTTCCGGTGCCGGAAGGTCCGTACAAGAGGTAGCTCCGTTTCCAAACGCGGCCAAGGCGGTTATAGTATTGTTTCCCCTTGAGGAACGATTCGAGGTCGGATTTGACCTTGTTCTTCAGATCCGTTTCCATGGCGATATTTTCGAATGTGCAAGGTAGATTAAACGACGTCGATCTCCAGCGTATGTTCTTCTTTTCATCAGCCACGTTGATGAAAAGCTTCAGCTCTGTGTTTCTCTGTTGTTCAAGCTCATCGGATACTGTGTGTATATGCTGGAGATAGGGAGCTAGAATTCTCCGTTTATCGGCTTTACGTATCTTCAAAACGAAACTCCTCGCTCCGTCTTCGTCGTCTTCTTTGTTGATCCAACAAACTTTGGCGCCTAGAAACTCATCTCCAACAGCCTGGTTTTGATCCAAGCGGAGGATGATCTCGTTTGACTTTTTCCCCGTGAAGAGGTTGGTGAAATTTGAATCTTCTATGGAGCTCAATGAATTCAGGTACGTGTACACTTTCCGGTAGAGATGGTTTTCTTGGACGTCGTTGAATTCAGGGACCTTGAAGTGCTGGTAAACATGAAAGAGATCGATGATGGTCCTCCTCCATTTCTTAACCGTGTGAATCAAACCAGTTTTGAATAAGACAATCCTGAACAAGAACAAAAAGATCCCCACCCCAAGTAATAAACATAGAATCCTCCCCATGAAAACAAACTTAAAACTCTGTTTGAAGATATTTCTCAGTTTAGGAGGATATATATATTCCTAACGATGACTGAGGGATTAGTGAATATAGATATTAAAATCATGTTTTGAGAATTGTGAATAGAAAACTTAGACGAACTATTTTGACGGGTGTTTACAGACTTGAGAGAATGATAAGAACACTGAGAAAGAAAGACATAAATAGGACTACAAATATTTTTTCACATAAATATAAAGAAAGACGTGACAGAGACTGACCAATCAATGGATAATATCGCTAGGTTGTTTTGAAAGAGTCAACAACTTATATTTACACACCAAAAAGAAAAAAAAAGGTAAGAACTTGATTTTGTATTTAATTAATCTGTTCAGAGCTTTGATATTATGTGTATAGGTTCATGAATCCTTTAATCAACATTCTGAAAACTAATTAAATGATACATATGTAGAATATTAAGAAGTTGGTTGACTCTCATTGTGAGTTTTTTTTAAGAGTGTGTAAATTCACTTGACTTTTTTTTTGAACTTGGTAGATTCACTTGACAAAAAAAGAAAAAGTTTAAAGTTAATGAATAAAGAAAAAAACGTAGAACTAATATTTAGCAGCTCTAAATATCTTTATAAACATTAAATTCAGATTTTTTAATTTAACTTAAATCCTTGGGGTTTTTCATTTCAATATTACTATGTTTTAATTGGTAGTAAAGTGATCGTAGCTATTTCACAATAAAAATATACAGTATTTGTTAAGTTGATGCCACTACAAATATGATGGTATTTGGATATTATAAACATGTGCACAAAGTGCACAATGTTTATACACACATAAAAGCAAAAGAAATTGATGTTAAATGATTTCTACCAAACACATCAAATACAAGCAATTGATGTGGAGAATATGATGAACAAATGTAGTAGTAGTGGCATTTGATACGGCAACTGATATATTCTTTGTTGTAAACTTAGTTTTCACAATTATCATGACAAAATAAACTTGTAAAGTCAACTAGTTTTGTTCCTTTGGCTTCAATAAATGATTAGTTTTTCATTACTCGAATATTCTACAAAAAATAATTACAATTGGTATCAAAGACAAAAGTTCATAGCCAATTCACTTAAGAAACTGACTAAATTTTGTCTGTCATTTTTCTTTTAATTTGTCCGAAAATATGAAGTGGCGCAAAAGAATCTAATTAACTTTTATATAAATATATAACAAGCCGCATAACCCTTTGGAATCTGAAGAGTTTTCTTTATAACATTTTAACTAACTTAGAAATGGTTTAATATAATATTTGTCAGATTTATTATAATAATGGATTATTGGACGTGCTACTTTTAATTTTTTTTCGAGGGTAAGAATTCATTAAATCAAAAGGCAGCATTTGTATGGTACATGATTCATGATTATGCACAAAGGTTAATCTCTACTACCAACTAATATATCTCATGAATATATAAAAACTTTTTATCATCTTTTATAAAAAAAATATTTTATACTCTTCGGGGTAACCGTATATTACTCGTTCTAGCAGCATAAGATTTATAATTTGTTAATGGTCCTTGCCCTTTACGCCGTTATACATTTTTCTTAATCTATTTTGTCTGCAATATTGGGTGATTAAATTTTGATTAACTGGTAAAGAGGAAAGAAGTTGTGTTTCTAGACTATGCATTGCTTTATTGTGCTCAAAGTTGGATATAGCACGAACATTGAGTAATTGTTAGTGTTGACGAACAAGAGTAGCTAAATCACATGTTAATTAGAAAAAGTTATCTTGCAAAAAAACAAGTAACATGAAAAGTCACTGCCTAATTTTCTACTGTTTTAATATAGAGTAAAATAACGTGTTATTTGCATACTCGCACCATAACAAGCCAAATACAAATGAGTTTAGCTGACTAAAAGTTCAAAACAGTCTTTCACAAGGGGGGTTCGTACTTGAACAATACCGCAGTTTCATAATTATTTGGTTTACAAGACACCATGTGGCCTTTTTAATATTGCATGTGTATGGTGTTAGGTGTTTGGTTGGTACAAGAAATATGCATTTCAATTTATTACGGCAAGGTATGGAAGTCTATAAGGTAGGCTTCTATTCTCCTTAATCTATCAATCTCTGCTGTTACCATTTTCTAACGTTCTCAAAGCTTGACTTAATTAGTTTTGAATATACTGTTTTTTTTGTCACTGATTTTTAATATACTGTTTATATTGTTGGCTTGACTCCTTAGTCGTGCTCTTAACGTTATACTATCAAAAGATGAGAGGAAAATTCTCGATTCAGACGTATCTTACATGGAACAAGAAGATTCCAAAACAGTTTTCTTTGTACGTTTCTAATTTAGCCATATTCTCATTTATTTTCCACTGAGATTCCAGTTTAAACCCTAAATTACGATGATCCATGCACGATTTTTCTTTATTTTCATTTTAATTGTTTTGTTGTATACAGCTGGGGAAGTATAGGCGGACTCAAAACTCAATAAGACTTTGAATGTTTCAGCATGTGAAATTTCAAATTTTTAAAGTCATACACAGCCCATACACGGTGTGGTCCAAATAGTATTACTAGTGATTATTACATTGAATGGAAATAAGACGTCTCTTTCCTTTCTTCTTGAAAATGCTGTTTTCGTTATTTTTATCAGTTTTCAGCTTTTGCTTTACATGTTCTGCACTAATGGATTGCCTGTAAAGTTGTACCATTTGAATGTCATCGGTGTGTGCATTCATCATGATTCTTCCTCTTTATGCACATTTAAATAGAGCTTATCCTGGTTTAATCCGATCTAATTTACAGGCAAACGGTGTGTAGCTATTTCTTCCTCTTTATACACATTTTAAATAGAGCTTATCCTGGTTTAATCCGATCTAAACTAAACTAAAATTATATTGTACACAATTAATGTTAGCATATTTTGCATGTGCAGCCACATTAAAGAAGAAAATGTATGCCCAAAATATTATAATACAGATTTAGAGGCATAACATCAACGTGTTTATTTACATATAACCTGACTAAACCGTTCGTTCGTTCCATATGTTTGGGAATTTTGACAATTCGGAGCAAAATGAACAAAACTAAATTCTTGCTCTTCTAACAAGGAAGACATGTTAAAACGTGTTTCAAACTTGGAAATATAGAACAAAACTAAATTCTAGCTCTTCTAACAGGAAAGACATGTTAAAACGTGTTTCAAACTTGGAAGATTGATATATCATGGAGCGGCTACCCTTCACCACTAATCTTGCTCCAGAGCACCTCTCGGTTTGCCTTGGAGGTGAGGTCCTGTAATGCTACCTACCGGTAGTTTTCCTTTGCTTGTTTCTACATTTAATTGGTGTTAGTTTCATTTCATTTCTTTTGGTTGTGCAAGTGTACGTTACTAAGGCTTTGTCCTTTCTTGGATGTCCTTTGCATCTGAGCTTTGAATGATAAATCCAGTGTTAAAAAAAAACTTGGAAATATAGTGACACAAGTCCATAAATAAAGACTATATTGGGCCTTCACGCAATTTACCAAATTATATGTTTTCTTATAACACCCAAGTTGCCTACATAGTGTATGGCCAAAAAAAACAACATTGAAGCCCTTGACATTATTTAAGTGAATTCCTTGTTCAGAAATCTACGTATATAATGTTTCTCCTAACGTCTTATTGTAAAAGACATTTGAATATTGTTGATTCAGTAATTGTGATGTTTGCGACTGGTCTCGTGCTCCAAGCTTGTGTTAAATAGCAGGTATGCATTTAGTACGAAATTTCGTAAATGACTATTTTGTTTATGTCTCTTGATATCTTGCTTTGTTGGATAGTATTCTTCTAGATGGACATCAAATATGATATAACTAGATTATATGGTGTCGTGCATTTTTGCTAATAAAATCATTCTGGAGAAGAGCCCTCGTGAGTTCTCATACTTGATATTAAGTGGATTGCTTGTAATAAAAGTTAGGTTATGTGCTCGTTCTTGACACCTTCAAATCTCCTATCAGAAATTTATTTGCTTTTCCATATAGCATCAACAAAGATGGGTATATATACCACTCGACAGTATTAAAGATATAAAAAATTAAGATATCTTTAAATTTCTGTTAGTAAACAGGAAAACGTTATCTGAATGAGTAAAAACTTGTTTTTATATTATAATAATTTTATAAAATGCAAGTTGGACTCAAATTTGTGATGCTATACTTGAGAGTTGAGACATGTGCTTCTGATGTGCAATAAACACAACCTAGAATACACTTTGAGGCACTGTATGATATTAAAAAAAAATCTTCAAGGAAATAATTAGTGGCTTAGAATAGTGACCAATACATTTTGCATTTAGTTTTATGAATAGTAAAATAAAAGCTGACGAAGATTCTTAGCACAAACATACTTTATACTGGTTATTAGTATTCGATGTTTGGTTCCTGAAGTTTCCCTTTCCATGCATTTTATTTTCCCTGAATAAAAGCTAATTACCCCAAAATGAACCTAAATGGAATATTAATATCAACCGTTCTTATGATAAGGTAAACAAACGTTGGTACCATTAAATAAATAAAAAACATTGGTACATTTAATATGCCTAATTAGCCGTCAAATCAAAAAAAAAAAAAGAAGAAATTATGGGAAGAACCCTGTCCCAAATCAGTGGAGAAACACTACTCTTCTTTTCGAGCATTCTTTCAATCTTTCAAAATCAAATGGAAAACAATATATGTTTATAAGAAAAACATTTATCATTTAAACATATTTATGCATCGTTTTTTCCATGTGCAAGATACCATTGTAAAGATTTTGTTCTGCATGCAGATTTAGTCGTCTTTTGTGTCGGCGACTACATGCAGACATATAGCAAAGAAGAGAGAATCTTAATTAAATAACCTATTAGCGGTGAATAACAGTTTATTAGAAAATGCTTGACAATGAAACTTATCGATTGATACCAGTCGTAAAATGTGGTTTTCGCAAGCTGTAAATCTTATTGCATGGATCTGATACCTTTCGTCTCCATTTACATTTTTTCTTTTCATGTTTCTCGTGTTTCCCTTTTCTTCAACACACTAGTATATATATAAGTTTCTGGTTACATATATTTATCTTTCCATCGTGTTTTCACTCCAATAACATCTTACATTTCAAAATTTATAAGATAATGTCTAACGTTCGACCATGGTTCCGTCTCTCTAGTATCGCTAGGCCTACACCACAAGCCTCAAACGACCCACAACCTCCACCTCAACCCCGACAAACCACTCGCCGTCCGGTCGTAGTCAGAACTCCGGCTAAACAACCGTCACCTCCACGTCAGCAACAACCTCCTTCACCTCCACGTCAGCGTCCTCCCCCTCCACGTCAACAACAACCTCCTTCACCTCCACGTCAGCGTCCTCCTCCTCCACGTCAACAACAACCTCCTTCACCTCCACGTCAGCGAACACCTCCACCTCCTCAAGAGCGGTCTCCATATCATTCACCACCGAGCCGCCACATGTCACCACCGACCCCACCAAAGTCCGCGTCTCCATCGCCGCCAACACCACCGCCTAGGTGGTCATACACGCCACCACCACCATCTCTCAAGGAGGTTCAAGAAGCCTTACCACCTCGAAAGCCAACATCACCACCTAGTCCAGCTCATTCGACTCGGTCACTAAAAACTGAATCAGAGGCTTCTCGAAAAGCACCATTACCGAGAGCACTCTCTCCTTACTCTCTCCCGCCTCCTCAGTTACATTCCGAACGTGAAACCACTCAGAAAAACATTCTCACAGCCGAGAAAACAAGCCAACTCCAAGAACCAAACCATCATAACCATAACCATAATCACCAAGGCAACAACACCAAGAAGATGCCACGTCAGCCATCTTATTCCGAATCCGAAAACATAATGCGCTCTCGAGTTATTACCATTGCAGGTGAAAACAAAGGTGCTGTAATGGAGATCCTACGATCTCCTTCAAGCAACAAAACAGGAGGAGTAGGAACACATCCCTCTAAGGGTTTTCAAGGCACCAGAGAGAAGGGACGGCGACTTCAGAGCAGCAGCAGCAGCAGTGACGAAGGAGAAGGGAAAAAGAAAACGACGAAGAACCATAACGCTAATAGTACTAATCTCCCGATGAAAGCATTTATGAACAGTAACGTTCAGATGATAAACAACTCTATCGTTTACAACTCAACTGCGACTCATCACGATCCTGGCGTTCATTTTAAAATCTCCCGGAAACCTGGATCCGACAATGGTTTCCACGTCAAGGATTACGGTAATAATGACGGTGGATACACCAACTGAGAAAGTAAACATTCTCTCTGAAAACGAAAAAAAAAACGCTAAAGGTTTTGAGTTTACGTTGTAAGAAATACAATTTGATAAAAATAAAGAAAAAAAATGAATAAGAAAATATAAGTGGGGCTGGTGGTTTCTGATTCTTTTCTAAGCTTTGGGAGACCCTGCCACTTATATGGAAGCTTTGATTCGTTTTATTGAAACGTTTTTTTTTTTACTTGTAAACTGTTCTCTCTGTCTCTCTCTGACATGATCAATGAGATAGCGATTTTATTAAAATAAAAATCATGAAATTATTTCATATTCATCGGATGGGCCCTTATGACTAGAAGGCCTGATTTATCCTGGATAGGCCCGTCGTTACACTTGTGATTTTGACTTTTGGGCCTGTTATACAATTTGTAATCTTGATAAAACAGGGGCAACGATTTGGATAATATATTCCAAAAGGATATGGTTACAAGCGAAAAACTTATGTGAAAGAGAGAACTAATCATGTTACTAATCACTTAATCTGGCCTTCAAATCAGCTCAATTAACTTCTGCTAAAATGTCTAATTTCGTGTGTCCGTGACGAGACATAAGCCGTAAAGCGCAGCTCATGCTGTTATGCTTCGATAAATCCGTAGGCACCCTTTTACTTAACATAAATATCCTACAAAATATCCTAAACGTATTCATATACTTTATCATGCTCGATTAAACATATTATTTAGTAAAAAAGGAAAATAAAAATGCATGGATATAACGTCTTATATATCCCAGTCTCCTATCGTATGCCTCTACATTTTAATATCACTATTTGTTTCCAGACAATAAGTCGTCTAGCTAACAAGTTGATCTATGATTGAAATTAATCAAATATCTTCTAAAGTTTTCTAAAGAAATATATATCTTACTAGATGAAGACCATATATATTATATATCACAACCTTTAGTATACATAAATACTACCACAATACTTTCTGAAAGTTGTGTAACAGAACTAAAGTAGTCATATTATTAAGCAAAAGATAACAAAAGTTTAGGGACAAGAAGCAAGTGACAAGGAGAAAGGAGAGTGAAGTGTGTGTGGGGTATTGTGTTATCTTTTAAAAGCTTTGGGGTATTTTGCATGTGCATGCATGACCTTTCTACTCTATTATGTTTTTGATGATTTAATAGGTATCCAACGACCTTGTGAATCACCTAATAATAGTGGTGATACTATAGATTCGTTATCAAACTATCAAGCACCGACGAAAATGGAGAGAAAGCCGGAACGGATTAGGATATCTACAAATTATAACGGTAGATCGGCCAATAAGTTAACAAGGACTAAATGGCTAACTGGAATTTATATCACAAAGATGAGTTTGTCAATAGTATGTTTATAGTGACCACGGGTAACTGCATTGCTTGAACTAGTTTGACCTTCTCAAGCTAATCCACAGTTGTTAAAATGAGAATTATTGAAATAGGATATCTAAGCTGTGTCGAAAATCTATTGAAACCAAAACTATCGCTATTGTGCAACGAATTGTTCCTTCACTGTCAAATCAAAACGTTAAAGCATTGAAAGCTACAGAAGTCTACCAACAAGATTACAAGAGACGAAGCACGGAAAGACCAAGCAGGCAAAACTGAAAGGGATTATATTTTTCAAACTTCGCTATTATACATAAGTAATCGGGTCAAAAAGTAAATTATTAATAATCGAGACCAGATAAGCACAACATGAATGACATGTGGCACCTACTAATTGGCATTGTCTCCCAAAACTCAGACCTATCTCACCCACTGTCAGTCTATTGACACGTGTCAAGAGCTTAAACACCCCCTTGAGTGTCCAATAAATTTCTCATCTCAGACTATTCTTTTGCTTCAGACTCTTCACTCTTTCAAGAAGAAATATAATACTATGACGGTACGTAGTTCTTTAGCTATTCCTTTACTTGTATGCATTTTTTCGCTCTATATTATTAAAATATCTTCCTGTTTTCTTGATTTTTCCGAAGATCTTTAACTGGGTGCAGAAGAAGCTGCACCAAAATGTCATCAGAGGTTAGTTTATTTGTTATTCTCTTCTTTTGTTTATAAGAAGTATCATGTGATAAATAAAATATTAGTTTTACTTTTTTTTTTGTTGAGTATCATATAAAATCATTTGATTCCCTGTTTATTATTTAGTTTTATGTGAAACATTATATATATACTCTCACGTTAGAAAAAAACATAGTTTTTGTCCAACCTGTATTTAGAAACATGTATATTTTCATGTGGTGCAAGAAATAGATGGTGTGACGAGAAACGAGAAAAAGAAGAGAGGTGAAGGAACAAGTGAGATAGAGAAGAACACGAAAGCTATATTGGATCAGGTTGGGTTAGTGGATGCTCTTGATAACTGGTTTGATGGAGTTCTCACCATCGGCACATTCGGTTTTGACAATTTGAATTTTCAAGAAGAAGCCGAAATAGATGATGGTGATGAATGCGAGAGTGTGGGTTTCGACTATGTTGTAGTCGATGGTAGCATCATCAAGAACGTCAACCAAGAGTCGGATCCTCTTATCTCCAATGAAAATAAGGGTTATGATCATCATGAGGATTTAGGGGTACGTACGTAAATGATAAAATCATATGCTTATTTGAAAATGTAAATGGTTTATATGTATTTTCTGTATATTGACTCAAATACTGATGAAACCATCGATGTCATATACTTCTTTCATGGAAACCATAATTTAAAGTTGATTAACTCATCTTATGATAGATTGATCATTTCCTTGAGATCTATCGTGTTATGGATATATATAGGTATTGGACATTAATCACTTTGACTCGGCCAAAACTGTTGAAGGGCCGGTGGTCGCGACAGCGGTCGAGGCCGAGGCGGAACCGGAAAAGAAGAGGACAACACTAGCTGAGCTTTTCATGGAAGACCGAGACCAAAACGATAATATGAAACACGACAAGAAGAAACCAAAGAACCCTAACTTTGATGTTGATGGCGAGGAGGTTAAATATCATAAACAAAACGGGTCAAAGCTGACTAGTAAGTTCTCGTTTGCTAAGAAGATTAAGTCCAAAGAAAAAGTAGAAGACTCGTGTCCAATCAAGAAAGTGCACGACTCGCGTCCAATCAAGAAAGTTCATCAGGTAATTATTTTATTTTGATTGCACAACATAGATGATGATATAAGTTTATATTACATGTGATGTGCCTAAGTGCCTCTATTATGCAAGCAAAACGACGTCACGTCAAGCTCAAGTTGATGTTCCATGTCTGTTATCATTATTAGTATCACTTGGTTGCTTCATAAGTGTACTTATAGGTGTGTAAATATCCACTCGATGTGTACAAGTACAACATCATTTCTATATGTGATTGTAGATGATAAAGAGGATGTTAAAGAAGAAGATCCATCCAGATATGGATGCGACTAAGGCTTCAAAAAAGGACGGTCCATACAAGCCGGCTCGGAAATGTGAACCTCTCGAGACACTTTATCTTCTTAACGTTCCAGGTTAATTAATCATTTTGTATTTTTTATTTATTTACGTAATTAGTGATCCACTGAGTTATGTTTTTCTAAACATTTGCTTTGTTGAACAGATTGCGTGGCCTAGAAGCCTCAGAACGATATCGTACAAGAGCAATTACTAGACGTGTGCTTTTCATATTGTATGTGATTTCTATTTTTTTTTGTTATATGAGAATGTGTTGGTATCGTTAAGAAGGATTTGCTTCTTTTGACAAACCATCACGGAGTTGTCATTGTTTGTTTATGTTTATGTTTATGCATATTTTATTTTATTTTATTTCTATGTGATATAACTTCTTAAATCGATCTCGACGTGTTTATATATGCTTCGTTCAACAAGTTTCTTTTTTTTGTTGCTTAAATTCGTTCAACAAGTTTGTTTATTATAACAAAAACCAATCGTCAATTTTATATCATTCTGAGGCATTATTCTATTATGGTAACTTAATAAATTTATATGAAATTTCAAATACAAAGTCATAAATTGGAAAAAAAAAAAACAAAATTTAACACACCCAAATATTTTTGCACTTTTGGTTTAACTGAATGATGAAATCTCATAGCTAATTTCTATTCTTCTGTCATGCATGTTCTTATTCCGAATCATCGACGTCTGTCAATTTTTTTTTTGTGTAAAAAGGCTTTCAATTAAAATGCATAAGAAAATACAAGTATGAGTTTTAGCTCATAAGTTTGGAAAAGTTAGCAACAAGAATAGAGTTAAAGAACCCCAGAGGAAGATCCACATTTAAATCTTATCAATATATTATATTGGGGAGAAAGCCCATAATATAAAGTATCCCTCACACGGTGCATTGAATCCAGAAACGCAACAAAAACTAAACATGTTACTCAGCAAATACGATTTCTAAAGTTGGAAAACCACTTTTGCGTTATTGAACCTAAGAGCAGCAACATCAATGAACCTCTGGTGGAATTCATGATTTTAATTTTTTAATTTTATTTTTTTGTTTGACTTTTTTTAAAAAAACTAATAACGAATCGCCATGTGGCGTGGGATCTACAAAATCAGTCATGAACCGGTTCAGCAGGAACAATCTTCGCGAAATGAAGTTCATCAATGTTCATTATTATATATATATTTTTTTTTGAACTGTGTGAACTTGGGTATAAACCCTTGCTGCTGCTCTAGTGAAGGAAAGTGACTCTGATGATTCTCAAAAAGATTAAACAAAACGAAATAATAATATACTTGACTTCCTTTTAATTGATTCACGTGATAAAAAAAAACGTGAAAGAGTTCACCAACCCGAGGTCGCTGAGCACTTTGACGCGTCCCAGCTACCATTTAATTACAAACATCATATTCTTCACGTTTTATTATGGTAGGTACCATTTTTTACATTTCTTTCAACTCCTTAACCTACTTACTAACTTTAATGTAATAAAAAATGTTGAAATAACAATATTCGAGAGTTTTTCCACAGCTTGCAATATAAACAGACTGCGCGTGGTCTCGAGAAGTTACGCTTCGTTCCATATAGGTTCGTAATCGTGGAAACTCTTCCCTTCAGTTGCTCTCTTTAATTTGTTTCATGAAGTCTAATGAAACACTATATAATGGTCATTTGTTTCAGGTTAACTTCTTACCAAGAACAAAACAGATCAAATGGCTAGTCTTATCTCGTTTCATGATGTAGCTAAACATAAGTGCAAGAATGATTGTTGGATTCTCATCCATGGAAAGGTCACTTTTCATGAATCCATTTGTTTTTTTTTTCATAGTCTTCTACTATGTTTCTAATACAAGTGAATCCACAGGTCTATGACATCAGCAGTTTCATAGACGAACATCCTGGCGGTGACAATGTTCTCCTCGCAGTCACCGGTACGTTCGGTTATACATTGGTTTAATCCGGTTTGGTATAATTTTTTTTATATTTTTAATGTGGATTTATTGACAACTTGAACATAAAGGAAAGGATGCGTCGACTGATTTCGACGATGTGAATCATAGCAATGAAGCTAAAGAAACAATGAAGAAATATTGTATCGGTGACGTTGACCAGTCAACAGTTCCGGTGACGGCGAAGTATATTCCGCCGTGGGAGAAAGAATCTTCGGCCGAAACCACCAAAGAAGAAACTGGAAACAAGATGCTTGTGTACTTGATTCCTCTCTTGATTCTCGGCGTTGCTTTCGTTCTCAGATTCTACAACAACAACAAGCAGACAAGTTAAAAGATTTATGATGGATAGAAACATCCATCACTGAGTTTCATTACGTCATATTTTTTGTAATATTATCTAGGTTTTGTGTGTGTTGTAATAATGGGTTTCTTATGCAAAGAGTTGGGCCATGTATGGGAATTCAAAGTATTGTTTCTTTATGATACTCGGCCATACCAAACAGGGCCGTTTGATGTATTGAAAAAAGCTACGACAAAACAATTCTATTAATTTGAAGTTTTTTATTCAACCTAAAAGATGAATGGGGATTGGGGGATACAAACTCACATACACTATTAGTTCGTTAAATTGTATACAAACATATGCATAGAAAAAGAAAGAAGGAAAAAGCTAGACAGATATATATGCAACATTTCAAAGGAGGAAAAATATGCGTGCTATATATAAGAAAATGAGCTTATTGACTATGTTTAGCAAAGAAATGAAAACAACGCTGTATTTGTGTTTTAAGAAAAAAACAACGCTGTATTTCTAGCAAAAACATTGGACATGTATGATTTCAACCTACATATTGTCTGTTAATTTTTATTATTGCATTTCAAATTACAATGACCTGATCAACAATGTTGGTTTTAAAATCTATCAATTCGATATTCGAATTCATGATGTATATTGTTTACTTGATCTTGAAGTGTTGTTGTTGTCATGTGATGCATAGCACTAGATATTCGAATAAAATATCAATATATATATACTTAAGTTTATATATGCTGTCAAGAAATATAGTTTAATTTTCTTTTAAAAAAAACAAAGTGTGGATTACATGTGATGTAAACAATTCCCAGAGTGTGTATACTCTAAAAGATCACTCCTCACAATCACGAAAAAGATTTTATAATTTTATATTCGATTGTAATCTTGATTTCTTGTAGATTTTATTCTATAATCTGTTGGAAACAAATGTGTTGAGTTTTATACAAATTAAATGTGCTGGAAATAAAAATTAATTGTGTTGGATATAAAAAATTCCGAGAGATTTGCACGTCCAAAATATACCAATATTCAGGTCTGTATTTTTAGACTGGTTTCAATTTAGTTTTTTTAAATCGAGAAAAAATATTCAGGTCTAAAAAGATTACATACAATTGTATTCTTCAAATCTTAAATAAATTAATTCATAAATTTTATATTTTTTTAAAAAAATCTCTTATTTGATACTATAATACAACTTTGTAACATATATATATATAAGAATCACAAAATACTATTTTATATCAAAATTTGTTTCTAATCCAAAAAATAAACTTTTGAAACACATATCAAAAATCTAACATAGTTTAAGTTTCTTTAAAAAATAACAAAGTGTGGATTACATGTGATATAAACAATTCCCAGAGTGTGTATACTCTGTAAGACCACTCCCTTTTTATATTCGATCGCAATCTCGATTTATTGTAGAATTTTATTCAAAAATTTGTTGGAAATAAATATGTTGAGTTGTATAGCGTAGAATAATTAGTTTTCCAGGGCCGAAGACTCGAAGTTATACGTAAGAATGGACACGTATATTAAAAGTGTACAGTTTTTTAAAAATTACAAAATCAAAGCGTGGATTACATGTGTTGGTTATATCTATATTACCAGTTTCTGTTGTTAATACTCTGAGAGATCACTCCCCATAATCACGGAATTTTTTTATAATTTTGTTATATTCGGTCGCAATCTTGATTTGATGTAGAATTTATTCCATAATTCTGTTGAGAAATAAATGTTATAGTTGTATAGCTTAGGAGAATCAACTCACCAGGATGCGGGTTATACTTAATAATGGATTAAGGCAGCACATATATTAGAAGCATATATAGTTAACCTTGTGGTTTGCGGACCGTGGATGTTTTAATTACTGTGTACGGTAATAAAATAAATTAGGGTTTCGACATAAATTAACTTGAACACCTTTAAAAAGACATAAATTCAAAACACAACAATATAAATTACTTTCATTGTATTTACAACAGTAGAGACACATAACTCACCTTTCACACTCACATATCACACACACACACATCCACACATCTCACGGATCAGAAAGTTAGTTCTAATTAAAAAGGAAAAGCTGCTTAGTACTTTGTTTCCATTAATTAAAACTTTCCATCTTCTTATAAGCTTTTTTTTTAACTGCGCCTGCGACGCACGATAGCAGCAAGTGGATTAGCCATCTCACATGAAAGCCTCAGCTTCTCAGATAAATCAACACCATTTCCATCAGACGATCCCCATTCAAACTCATGTAACAGCGTTGCGGTCCAGAACGTAACGGTTGTCAAACCAAGATTCTTCCCGGGGCAGATCCTACGACCCGACCCAAAAGGCGCTAGTCTCAAATCCGAACCGAGAACGGAGAACTCAACCTCACCTTCTTTTGCCACGAATCTCTCGGGTTTAAACTCCAAAGGATCAACCCACACGTGTGGATCATTCGCTATGGCCCACATGTTCACCATTGCTGTGGTCCCCGCCGGAACAAGACAACCATCAACGATCGTGTCTGTTATGGCCAAACGAGCCCATGATAGAAGTGGACCAGGAGGATGCATCCTCAAAACCTCTTTTATCATAGCCGTCAGATATGGAAGTGAAACCAAGTCAGACTCATCTACGGCTCTTGATTTTCCGACAACTGAATCAAGTTCTTTTTGTACCGTAGATTGAATATCTGGATGAAGCACCATCCTAGCGAGTATCCACTCGAGTAAAACCGCAACTGTGTCTGTTCCTCTGAATATCATCTCCTGTAACAAAAATATAACGAGAACAAATTTAATTATTTTAGTACTTATTACTTTATATAGAATCTGTTAATAAATATTATAATGCTTTATTTATCCCATCACATGTCACGTTACATCTAAAAAATCATGATATTATCAGAATTTCAAAAGCAATATTTAGATTTATAAAATTTAATTACCCAAAGAACTGCGATGATGTCCGGGTCTGATAATTGGTCCGAACCATGGAGGGAGAGTAGGACGTCCACGAAATCACGAGGGGAGTCACCGATTTGATTACGATGCTCAGATATAATCCGAGAAACAAACCGGTTTACTTTTGGTACGAGTGTTGAACATCTAGACCGGATTCTCTGTGGATCAAATTCCGAGAACCAAGGAAGGTGATCGGACCAGTTCAACATTCCTAGTAAATCATACCCTTCTTCGACCAGTTCACGTAACACAACATGGTTTTGGTCAAGCTCGTACTCTTGTCCGAAAACAGAACACATCATGTTGTTAAGCGACGCCGTTTTTAACAACTCACGAATAAAACAGAGCCCGTCACTGCTCTGTTTCTCGAGTAACCCAACCATCTGGCTAGCGATCACTCGCCTCTGCGTTTCTGCTCGTTTGATTTGCTTAGGACTGAAGAGATGGTTGGAAGCGATCCTTCGCAGTGTTCGCCAGTAAACACCGTGTGGCGCGAAACCAATCGCCCGGTTAAACATCAGAGAGTAAGCTGATTCCTTAACCGGCCGGTCAGCAAAAACCGGACTATTAAGAATCTCTTTAGCGACGTCTGGGTTGCACGTGACAACCACGCGTGTCTCGCCCAAGCTGAAAGCCATGAGCCGCTTGGCCTCGTGTATCTCTGCCTCTTCTGCGATTCGGCGGTGAGCAAGAGTGCTGGACATGAGAGACATGCTTCCCACGAGAGGGAACCCTCTTGGACCGGGAATAACCGTTCCGGTTTTGTTAGTTAACCGACGAGAGAGGTATTTGCCCCATGCAGGTCCACCGGGATAGGTCCAGAAGAAGAGAGAGAAGGCGAGCCAGACGATTACGATGGCAAGAATAGAAAACAAGACACTGGTTTGGCTTAGACCGCTGCATTTAGACAAAAGGGCAAAGATTAAGGAGCTTTCGAGTTCTGTAGCCATGGGAGGATCAAAGGAATGTAAGCGAAGGTTGAAGAGAGAAGGGAGAGAAACTAAAGGAGAGTGTCTTTTGGTCTGTGGGGCTTAAAGATCAGCAGATAGCTTTGGTCTTTATATAGATAATCAGAACTCCTTAAAATAAATGCCCTATATTTTTTATTATGTATATGTTTATAATACTACCGGATATTTCCTTTTAGTATACAATTTAGAGGATTTTTTTTTTTCTTAATAATATTGTGTGTAGTTGTGTTTATTTTATTGTCTCCCTCTGTGTTAGGAATGTGTTCATTGCTGATACATTTAATTTTTAATTTCCTAGAATGAGTATTGACATCCAAAGTTACATAAAATTCTATGTAATTTCCCATTAGTTTTTTAAAGGAAGATTTTCTGTTAGCTAGCTAGTTAAACAGAGTTACCGAGCTTGATTCCATGAGAATCGATCGACGTTGATTGTGAATCTCTTTTGTGTGAATATATATCTTAATTGAAAATTTGAAAGTGCTTGTAGATTTGATTCCAATATTGTTTTAAAGAAGAATAAAAAGCAAGACCGTTCAGCCACAAGATAAAGATGACTCCAGAGTCTTGATCACTGATGTATTTGATAAATAAACATCATACTAAAGGCGTTAATAAAGGTTAGACCACTTTGAATGTAATCGTTTAAATGATTTACATGGATTTCAAAATGTAACGAATATTGTGTGGTTTTAAACTTTTAATAGGGTATATATGGCCATTAGTAAGATAAGCTTTTACTTGTTTTTGTATGTTTTTTCACACATTGACAAAAACATATTAAATTTGTAGCCTAAATACATTAACTTATGTGATTATCAATATTTTTATCAAATTTAACAAATATTAATTCAGTAAATTCAATTATTTTCATTAATTTTTAATTACGGTTATTACAGAATATAAAACTCAAAAAAATCTTTGTAAAACCATTATTTTTTGCAATCATTTACTTTGTGAAACGGATGAAATATTCACTAACAAATGGATTCATGACAGGTGACTTTAATCGCAATTGAAAGAAAAAATATTAGTCTTCTTAATTAGTACTAGTATAGTACAGAGTAAATAATGTAATAAATAGGTGTAAGGTGATGGTTACATGAATTAACTTATTGTAAACGCTAACTTAATTAACATCGTGACCGTTGAATAAAACGTAAATCATGGAGTCTGCTTGTATTAAAATAAATTTTAGTTGTTAATTTGTAGTCCAGTTGACTTAACTTATCTAAATCACTTTTTTAGCAAATCTAAATCACTTCTGTCTGATTATTTACATGTAATTGTTACAGTCGTAAATAAAAAGCTATCCTATATATTTATTTCACCAAGTAAACTGATTAGAGAGTTCACATAACGGTACCTTTACAATTACTGGCTGGTTGCATATGGCCGAGCGCCGTCATACGTTGGTGCGTGATGTCATATTTTGTGGAGCCCATGTTCATATATTTCAGTAAAACCTAAAAGTAAAAGTTAATACTGAACTTGAATAACTGAGCGATATCAAAATTTTGATTTTACTCA